ACAAGAACTATCCCTCTCCCAGCAGCCATCCATTGTCTATAGGTCCTCAGCTATAGTAAGTAGGGCTTTATGAGTCACTCCTACAACCATGCTGGGATTTTGTGGGACTTACTTTTCTGTAGGTTTTGTGCAAGTTTTCACAGCCACCGTGAGTTCATGTGTCTAACTGCCCTGTTGTGTTCAGACACTATTTCACTGTAGTTATCCACAATGTGTGAATCTTAAAATTTTCTCCACCACCTCTCCTGTGATGGTCCCAGAGCCTTTGGAGGAGGAAGTGTGACATAAATGTCCCATTTAGGGTTGAGTACCCTTTTCTCTGCACACTGACCAGTTGTGGTTCTCTGTGTTTACTGACATCTACTTCAAAAGAAGCATTTGTGATGAAGGTTGAGAGATGCATTAGTATGTTGGCATGAAGGCAATACTAGGTACAGAAAAATACCATGCACATTTAGCAGAACAATAGTGTTAGTCTTGCCATAGGTTCTATGCCCTACCTAGGCATGGATTTTTGGCCCAATAGTAACAGGCATGGGTTCTGTCTTGTGGAGTGGCCCTTAAATCTAACCAGAAAATGGTATTTGCTCCTATAACATTTGTGGCACTAGTATAGAAAAGAGGATATTTTCCCTGTCTGGTAATTATTGTAACTTTCAGGGTTCATGGCTGAGTAACACCGTTGATGACAATATACATTCCTTCCCAGCATGTCTAGCAAAATTTCTAGCACAGTCAAAACTAGCCAGTAGGATTGGAACTTCGAAGTTGGTGCTAGCTTGAAGAAAATCAAGACTATGAAAGCAGAGCAGTTATTTATCAGATTTCATAGAGAGAATTCTAGAGTCAGAATTTTAATTCAGCTGACTATTTTCTAAATTCCGCTTGTCCTGCATTGCTGTTGTAAGAATATAACTGTTAAATATTACATATTTATTTCAGTCACTTAGTAAATGCTTGCAAGAGTTGCAGTCATGTTTGGGTTTCCTCTCCTTTGCTTCTAGTCTTTTTCTAACTCCTGGTTTTCATAACTTGTTTAACGTTCTGTTAGACTAAGATTTCTCTGTGTTGCTGCACTGACTAAGGCAATTAGTGGTTTTGAACTTGAAGATGTTTTTCCTGACTCCTTCATCTTGAACTTCCAGAATGTATAGCATCATAAATAAATTTCTGTTCTTTGTAAATTACCCAGTCTTGGAATTTTTTAATAGCAGAAGTCAATAGACTAAGTCAGACTCTTACTTGTGGGGGACAAAAATAATTCCATTGTGGAATGTTTTGAGGTCCAGCCTCTGCAGGGCAGAGGACAGGGTGTAGACAGGGGTGAGGTGTGTCCAGACTCAGGGTGGGCCTTCCGGTCTGGGCTGATCCACTCTTGTCTGGATGGGCTCAGGCAGAAGCAAGCAGGTGTTGATGGAAGAGGTTGAGGAGCTGGTATAGCAGTGCCAAGACTCACCAGAGGCTCGGGCACCCACAACAGGACAGAGGGCAGGGTGTAGACAGGGGTGAGGTGTGTCCAGACTCAGGGTGGGCCTGTGTTGAGATTTTGATGGGGATTGTGTTGAATCTGTACTCTGGCAAGATTGCCATTATCGACATTTGTTCAGGCCAGCTGTTTCTGTGGGTTTCACCAGACTGGTACTGACCCCTTCGGTCTTCATTCCTCCCTCTCTGCAACTAAGTTCCAGAGTTCAGTTCAGTGTATATCTGTGGATGTCTGCCTCTGCTTCCATCAGCCACTGGATGAGGACTCTAGGATGGCATAAAAAGTAGTCATCAATTTCATTTTAGGGGAAGGGAGTTTAGGTTATCCTCTCCACCATTGCCTGGATTGTCAGTTCGTGTCATCCTTGTAGGTCGCTGGAAATCTCCCTAGTGCCAGATCTCTCCTTGGACTTAAAATGGCTCCCTCTAATATGGTATCTCTCATCCTGCTCTCCTCTGTTCTTCCCCTAACTTAATATATCTGTTCCTCCATTTCCTCCTCTCCACTCCTCTTCTGCTCTCATTCTGGCAACTCCCTCTCCCCTACCCTCATGTTCCCAATTAGCTCAAGAGTTCCTGCCCTTCCCTTTCCTGGAGTCCATGCATTTATCCCTGAGAGTCCTTCATGTTTCCTAATTTCTTGGTGAAGAGGATTATAGGCTGGTAATATTTTGCTCTATGTCTAAAATTCATATATGAGTGAGTCCATACCATGTTTGTCTTTTTGTGACTGGGTTACCTCACATAGGATGGTTTCTTCTAGTTCCATCGATTTGCCTGCAAATTTCCAAGATTCCATTGCTTTTTTCTGCTGAGTAGTACTCCCTTATATAAATGTACCACATTTTCTCTATCCATTCTTCAGTTGAGGAAAATCTAGGTTGCTTCCAGGTTCTGGCTATTACAAACAATGCTGCTATGAACATGGTTGAACATATGTCCTTTTTGTATGAATGTTTTATTTGGGTATATACCCAAGAGAGGAATTGCTGGATCTTAAGGTAGACTGATTCTGTTTTTCTGAACAACCATCATACTGATTTCCAGAGTGGTCTTACAAGTTCGCACTCCCACCAGCAATGGAGGAGTGTTCCTTTTTCTCCACATCCTCTCCATCATAGATTGTCATTAGTACTTTTTATTTTAGCCATTCTGACAGGTGTGAGGTGGTATCTCAGAGTTTTTTTGAGTTGCATTTCTCTGATGGCCAAGGATTTTGAGCACTTTCTTAAGTGTCTTTCAGCCATTTCAGATTCCTCTGTTGAGAATTCTCTATTTAGTTCTGCACCCCACTTTTTATTTTATTTATTTATTTATTTATTTATTTTTCCATTCATTTATTTAGCTCAAATGATACAGAATACTGTATGTTCACAATGGCATGGCTAAATTAAACCAATTAACATGTTATATCACACATATTCATCATTTTTGTTTGGAGGACACTTAAAGTATAGTATCTCACAACTTTTAAAATATAGCATATTTTTATCAACCATATTTATCATGCTCTCAGTAGACCTCAAGACTTCACAGTGTCCATGCCTCATGTCCAACTGCAATTTTATATCCTTAAGCCAATCGTTTCCCCATTCTTAAAAGACCCACATTGAAGCCTAATAGCTACAATTCTGCTCTCTGTTCCCATAAGTTCATCATTTCTAGGTTACACATAAAATTGAAATTGTGTGACATTTGTCTTCCAGTGTGTCACTTTTTTTTGGCAATCATATAACTTTACTACTTACTAAAGATGAAATCAAATTTGCATGCACAGGTGAGCACTCACTGAAACAACTTGGATCCATCACATTTTTGAGTTTCAATTAGCATGTGTGTGTGTGTATATATATATATATATATATA